GAAGGAAGGAAAGAAAGAAAGAAAGAAAGAAAGAAAGAAAGAAAGAAAGAAAGAAAGAAAGAAAGAAAGAAAGAGGAAGAAGCATAAAGCTGGGCGGTCAAACTTTCTCCGCACGGAGGAATCAGCTAATCATAAACAGAAAAGCACACTTGAGGGGTTGAAATTATTTCCCCTCCCCTGATCTGTCCAAGCCAGAAGCTGAGCATTTTCTTTCAAGTCAGACATAACCCAACCACTACATAAATCAGTGGTAAATCTTATGGCTTTCTGAATTACTCTGGGCACCTGGAATGTAATTGCCAAGATAGCAATCTCTTTCTCTCTTATTCCTTCATAGGAAGAGTAAACATTAATGTTAAGCCACAACGTGTGATGGGTTCCACACAATGAATAAATTAGAATATATCACAGAGAACAGGAAAGACAACACTGTAAAATACAACACTCAAAAGCAAAACCCAGAAACATGTAACCAAACCAAGCCAACGGGAAGGGAAGAAAAAAAAGAAGAAAGAAAAGCGAAGCCCAAACACTTTACCTAACGCAACGTGTCTCTTCTGTCCAGTGCATCTTTGCTTGGAAGAGAGTTCCACTGAACAGAATAGGTGTGTGCCAGCTTTAGATTTGTATGCACGGTGGAAAATAGCGGATTTACTGGGGAAGGGGGTGAGGGTGGGGGTGCAGGAAAACCTCTAACTGTATTGGCCAAACCAGGAACATATTGACCAGAGCAGTGTTTCTTAACCTTGGCATCTTTAAGACGGGTGGACTTCAAGTCCACACACTTTAAAAGTGCAGAGGTTGAGAAACACTGGATTAGAGGTATCTCCATTAGGGTTAATTCACTTGAGACTGAAAAAGGAAGGTTCAGATGCAAATGCCGTGAGTTGTAAAGAATTAATAGTAAGTAAAACCCAGGCTACAAAGAACCTTTCCTTGCTCAAGCTATCTGTAGTTTCTTCCACACTGTTTTGCAAAAAGACTTCATCGCGCTCCTGTACAGAAATGGCTCTTAAGAGCAGGGATATAAAAAGCTACTGAAAAACTGCTCCAATGCTTCAATTTTTGTAACAGCTTATTAGCACTTTCCGTTTAGGGATTTTTGGGCTTAGGGGAATGAAAACTTGACAAATATGAAGTACTTAGCATTGGTGAGAAGGGATCTCTGCCTCCTATAATTTCATTCCTACCATTTTCAAGTAGGTGACATCTCCCATTCCTTCACCGTAGTTCACATCTGCGGCCCAAGAGAAATGCAGTGTCTTCTGGGCATTTCATGTCTTTCTGTAGGCACGCTATCTTCTCTACTCTACAGTGACTGCAGACCGACTGCCTACAGTGGGATGGCTGATGGCGACTGCTTCCACAGATACCATCTTGGTATCTGCACTGCCTGATGGCCACAAAGGTCAGGGCCAGGACCGAGAGAGAGAAGGTGCTGAGAAATGCAGGAGTTCAAGAAGGGGACCACCGCCACAGGGTGGCAAGCCAGACGGAAGGTTTTGCCACATAGCAATTCAAGAGAGGTCCTGCTCTGTCACAGCAAGCCAACCCCCGTGTCAGAGCCTCACTTACTCTGGTTTCCCTTTGACTTGGCACAGAAGTTCAAGCAGGTCTCCTTCCCTTGTTAGCGGCTGCGGAGGAGAATTCTGCAAAACTTGTACTTCAGGCTTATCTGCACATCAAAGACACAACACAGACAATGAAAAAGAGAGGAAAAAAAAAGAAAGAATGAATGAATGAATGAATCACCCCATTAAAAAAAGACACCAAGCAAATGGCTCATTTGGTTAATTCTTTAAAACGACAGATGCTGGAGAAAAAATAGTCAAGGGCTACTGGCGCTTGCCCCTCTCAGTTGGACCTTTTGATCTGTAAATTATCCTGGCATTTCCCCAAATTAAGTTGACTAATAAGCTCCAAACCTAACATGTTGATAAGAAACCTGCACGCCAAGGCAGCGGCTCCCACTGGTTCTTGCAAAAAGAAATTTTGTTAAATTGAAGTTTATCTCTGAACTCATTCGAGCTAAAGGAAACTCATTTGCCTTCATGCTGAGGTGAAACGGCAGATTTGCGGTGTTCAGAATTGATACCTTTTATCATGCATCATTTTTTATGGGCTGGCAATCCTTTGTGCAATGGCAAATTAATAGGCTGGGCTCTTGTGGGAACTTCTGACGAGGAAGGAGGAACGGCTGAGCCGCACACAGATTTCTGCGAGGGGCAAGGAAATTCTCCAACCCCAAATACCCCGGGGGTTAAAGCATTTTCCACTCCGGGAGAGAGTCTGGGGATCCTTTGGAAAGACCCTGTAGGAAAAGAGCTGTTACAGACGGTTGCCCTAAAGCACGACCATGGCACAGGCAGAACGCCCCGAGCAAGGAGGACACTTTCAAGCAAGGCCTCCTCTCCCTGTTCAGGGGCCTTCATGCCCTTGAATCAGCAGCCACCTCAGTGTTAGGAATGGCCAATAATGAAGAGACCTGCTAGGTTCTAGTTACCTCCCCCCCCCCCCGCCCCACGAATCCTGGGATACAAAGCAGGTTAGGAATATACATGTACTGATTAAGAGACAAACACAAGACCGTCACACTCAAATGCAAAACTCTTTTAGCAGCCACGTTTGCTGTCCTGGTGGGAGCGGCCATGAAGTTGGATCCCTCCGCAAAGCCTAAAGATAGAGAGTCTGAGCAGATCATGTCCCTTGATTGATCAGATAAGGAGTCTTCAACTAGATCCTCATAATGAGGGGAAAATACAAAGCCACGCTGTTAATAACAGTTAACATCACAACTGAATTATAACAGAGTGTAAGGTTTCCAATTATCCTATAAGAGAATAGCTTAATAAGGTGTCTTAAGCATCACAGTTCTCAAATTCTATAATATGACACACACAAGATTAAATAGCATTGAAAAAGAAAGAGGAGCAGAAGAAAGTGCTGCACCTTAAAAGAGTCACAAATTTATTACCGCATCAACATCTCATGCCGCAAAAATAATTTTCTCTGCAACAGACTAATGCCGCTCCCCACGCTGTCAGTGGTTATAATTTGAAAAAGTTATTGTAGAGTTGAAGATCTTTTAAGCAAACGTAACACAAGCACAGCACGCACTTGCACAGGCACAAATACAACATAATCCACAGCTTTTCCAGAAGCAAGGAGGGGGCCGCTCTTCTTACACTGTTGGGTGATAAATGTCGGAATCTACATAAAGCTGGACAATAATCTCCAGGTCAGAATACGCGATGAGGAAAACAGCTGCTTCCCACACCACACCACACCACACCACACCACAACCCAAGTCTGAAATTCGGATCCGGTGCCTGTCAGCCCTGCTTCCTCCTTTCCAACCGGAACGTCACCTGGGACTCAATGCCTTTGCTGGTCACAATTGCAAGTCACACAAAAAAAGAGGGGAAGGGAAGGGAAGGGAAGGGAAGGGAAGGGAAGGGAAGGGGGGACACAGCTCTGAAATACTCAAGCATCTCCTCGCTCTGTTCACAAGGCAAAGAAAAAGAGGCATTGATACAGTTGGATTTAGAAAGGAAGGAAACTTTCAAGAAAACCCTAAAACCG